AGGCACACGGAATACCCCAGAAGGAGGTGGCCCTGGCCTAGCGTCCCTCTCCATCCAAGCCCGGCTGGCCTTCCCAACCTACAGTCCTCAGCAACAGAGTCTAAACAGTCTCCGGGGGTGCGAATGCGGGGTCTCTGCAGGGCTCCAGGAACTAGGAGAGACCGTTTTCCATTTCTGCCTCCCGACAAAGCCTGGAGAGCCCCCAGGTGAGCCATGAACTTCTCACCCCGGCTGAGCAGGCAGAGTTATTGCTGCATTTTGGTGCCCTCCGATGGCGGATTCTGGAACAGTCTCGAGGCCTCAGTCACCTATGGCACGCTGGGGGGCCTCATTTAATCCTACGATTTAATCGTGTTAAAAGGAGAAAAAATGTAATATGACAGTAAAAGATTGTAGTCTTGTCTCTCACTTCTCACCCAAGTGAACAAGAAGCTTTGACAGAAATGTTCCCTAATGCAGACTTTCTTAGACTTGTCTAATCATAAGATACATTTGCATGTTAAAAGTACACATTTCTGGGTTCTACTTCAGAAGTACCTCAGAGAAACCTCTAGGGGAAAAGCCTGAGAATCTGCATTTTAACAGCATTCTTCCCATTCCACCCCCACCCTCACGCACAGCCCAGGCAATTAGCAGAATCTAGCTGCTTAGGGAAATTTAGTTTGGGCACAGACACGGCTAAGTACAAACCAGCTGGCTACTCTGATGTTCATAAGAAAACCCCTGTTTCTCTCCAGGGGTAAGAGCGCTCTGTGTGTCCTTGAGAGGGAATGGAACCTTCAGGAGAGACATTGGCCTTTGCTGGACAGGAGCAAGTTTCCTCCACTGCCCAAATTTCGATTCATCCTTGACCTCTCTGTTGTCCGGATTTCTCCTCTATAAAACAGAACTATATTCCCTATACTCCCTTGCCCATTGAAATAATGGAGCCTCCAAACAGCTGATGAGCATGAAAACAGTATTTAAGAAAGCATGCAAGTCCCTTTGGTGGGCTAGAGCCAACCAGTGACTGCTAGAGAGAGCTGATTCACAACATCCTAGGAATTTTCTGAGTTTGTTATCAAACCTTTGGTGATGGATTGACACGGGCAATGATGGAAATGTTTATACCATAGAAATGGACAAATGCTACAAATTAGGGCTTTTTCATGTAGAGAGTTAACAGTTGTTAACCATTTACCAGCATACCATTGACTATATAGCATGATGGGGCTCTTTTACATCTATGTGTGTGGGGGGGTGCCTACTGCAAATCTGAACCAGAGGAAGTGGTCATCTTTCCTCCCCTGACCTTCAATAGCTGTTTGTCCATGACAGCAGCATGACTTGTCTCAGCCTCTCATCCAATGTGCCTCAGGTTACCACTAACAGCAAAGTCCCAGAGGCCACATTTGACTTGAAGCCCCAGCAGAAAAAAGTCCTAAGATGGATAGGCATGAACGATCACCAGGTGTGACTTGCTCTGTTCCTGCACAACCCAGGTGGGGATCAATGAAGGGCTTGTAATGTATGATAAGAAGGGAACTGGATTGGCATAGCCTCCCTTGGTATTGGTAGGGCACTTTATTAGTCAAGAATCCTATTTCTCCCTCTTCAGAAGGAAGCCACCTTTATCACCTTGGCTGTTGGTTACCAAAGCCAAATCCTGCAAAGTTGGCCTTTACTTCAAAGCTCATGACTACCTTTCAACTGCTCTTTCAGCAGCACAAATGTGAACTCTCTAAAACTAGCTGTAAAGAGGCAGGAGGAGCTGGGCATACCCAGGAGATACAGGGAACATGGCTCCACCTCTTTTCACCCAGCGGACCACCTGCCCTTCCTCAGCGTGAGCTTTGAAGTACACAAAACAGACTAAGGAGGCTCTGCCCTGAATCTGGCCTCCAAATTCCCTGGAAACTGAAAAGACAAACTTATTGAGCTACATTTAAACCTATATCTTATATCCCTTGAGCCTGGCTAGGATTAGAATTATCCTCTTATGAGGAAGGAGAACTTCATGACCCATTAAACAGACAACAGCTTCTTATTTGCTTTGTGCACAGGGAATATTGCAATATGAGATGATTGAAGCCATAGTGACTTAAATCACATGGTAGCCATCCCTCTCCAGCTATAAGGAAAGCTCAGTGATGAGTTAGGACACCTAGACTCAGGAAGGCCACACCATTTGTTGGCATAGGAGCACTGTGGGTTCAGAGTCTGTAAACTAGAGAGGTTGAGGGAAGTTCCTGGAGAGCTCAGCTGGGATGACAGAAAGGCAAGATTGAGCTTCCAGGGAAGAGGAGGGATAATGAACGAAGTTGAAGAGTACCCATCACCAGGCCACTTTGGTTGGAGCCATGAGTACATGCGAAGACCAATGGGAGACCAGGTTGACTGACTGAGATCAATTTTGACTTGCATAAAAGAGGAGCCATTGACAATGCATTCACTTTCTGCTGTTATGAAACAAATAATCACAAACTTAGATATATAAACTATACCCAGTTTAATCTTACAGTTTCTGTAAGTCAGAACACTGTGTACAGTAGAGTCAAGGTCTTTGCTCAGGGCCTTAAAAAATTGAAACTTGGGTGTGAGCGGGGCTAAAGTGTTCTTTTCTGGAGCCTAGAATCCCTTTCCTGACAGAGTCAGGTTGTTGGTAGGATTCAGTATAGGAATGTGGTCCTTACTTTCTTGAATGGTATCAGCCAGAGCTTTTATAGGCCTTTTGCCATCTTCTGCCAAACAACCAAACATGGAAATTTGATCTTTGAGGTAGGATAATTCTCATGCTTTGAAACTCACTGAATTCAGAAACAACTTAGTCCCTTTTAAGAGCTCATCTGATTAAGTCAGGCCCACCTAAGACAATCTTTCTTTTGATTAACATGATTAGTAACCTAATCATAAGAGTGATACTGTATCAGATCCACAGGTTTATCCCATACTCAGTGGGAGGGGATTATTCAGGGCAGAAGTCCTGGAGGCCTTCTTAGAATTCTTCCCAACTCCATAGTTTTCAGCTTATGGAGCTAGAGAAGACATGATGAAATTGATGTAGGTGACCTGGCACCAGAATACCAGCTAGAAGACTGTCAGCATCATTGATAGTAGACCATAGGAAGGCTTAGGTTGATAGATGAGGACAGGATCGTAATGGGTAGATTTAAAGAATGTGCTGTCCTTCTGCCTAGAATGGCTCTCTCTGATACCACACACCTCCTGGCCCACTCCCATTGAATCCCTTTACTTACCCTTCAGTTATTCTCCAGCATGTCACCCAACTAATTCTTCCATGATGCTATTCATTTTATGTTAACATATTTTTCTTTTTTATTGTTTCTTCTCTCTATTGAACTCAATGAAGACAGGGTCAGTGTCTCTTTTACAGTTCTCTTTCTATACAGAATGGAATAAGATCTGGCATACATCAGAGACTCGGTAAACACTGAATGAAGAGTTAAATAAATGAGTGAGCAAATGATGTAAAAGGTCCAAAGAAAGTCAGAAGACCCACATATTACGTCTAGACTTCTGGAAAAAGGTGGAAAGTGGAACTAGATTAAGAGCTATGGGGAGCTAGAATCTGTTTCAGACATCCTGTGTCTGAGATACCTGTGGAACAGTTGTCTAGGGAAGCTCAATAAAGCAGTGGAAATGTGTGTGAAGAGTGACCAAAGAAAATACACTGTCCACTGAAACTAAGAGACTAGACTTTGACCGTGTGTGATGGTTAATCTTGGTTGTCAGTTTAACTGAATTGAGAGCTACCTGAGAGATTAGCAATTCACGTCTCTGGGTATATCTGTAAATACATTTCTAAGAGGATTGGGTCTTGAGGGTTCTGACAGTGATAGTTTAATCCACTGATGGATTCAAAATGTGACTAGATTATTGGGAGGTGGTGGAATTGTGGAAGGTAGAGCCTCGATAGAGGAAGTAGGTCACTAGGAGAATGCCTTTGAAGGATATGTGTTGGCTCTGGTTCCCTCTTGTTGCTCTTCCCTGCCTGCCTGAGGTGAGCAGCCTCTTCTTCTCCACACTTACTACCATGGTGCTCACCTCACTGAACCCCCCACAGCAATGGAACCAGCCAAACACTGAAACTGCTGACACTGTGAGCCAAAATAATCCTTCCTCCCTTTCAGTTGTGTTCTCTCAAGTGTTTGTCAAAGCCATGGAAAAGGTTGACTAACACACCACATAAAAGCATGAAAACCCAGGTTTAAAGTAAACCTCCATTGGATATTAGTTCTGTTTTCCAAACCTGATAAGCTGGAATGCTTATCACTCAAAGCAGAATTTATATAGCATACAAGCTGGGAGTAAACATTTTCCTTAGGCACAGGAAAACTGTGGGAGAATGTGAAGGTACACAGACCCATACCCAAAGTCTTCAGAAAGAAGGTAGTGTGAGGGATGTGCTAGGAGGTCAAGTGGAAGCTGGTCCAGGACCCAGTGCTGCTCTGTTGACATCTTTATCCCTCCCTCCCCTTCTCTGCTGACCTTCCTAATGAGTTCTTCATCTCCCTTATCTCTGCTTCGCTACTATTTTCACTCAACTAACACTTCTCTTTTTAAAAAAATATCTTTTATTTATGCTCAATTTCATACATGTATGCAATGTACCTTGATCATATCCTCCCCAGCACATCCTCCTCGTACTCTGTGGTCTTCTTCCCCACTCCCTTTTTTATTGTAACCCAAGGAATCCAATTAGTGTTGCCTGCTGAAATGTTGATTGATTTGTTGGCTTGACCTCGTGCAGGTAACCACAGCTTCAGGGTGTTCATGAGTGCAACAGCCGTGCATGTCAACGTTCCACAGCACTCCTCCCCACCCTCCAGCTCTTTTATTCTTTCCTCTCCCTCTTCTATAGCCAAACACCACTTTTCTTGTTAATGCTCTTCAACTAAGTCATTTTTGTCCTGCCATATGTTTCAGTGTGGGTCACCTCTAGTAACCTCTCTGAGCTTGTGTCCCTGACATGCCTCACACCTGTCCTTGCTCCTTTACAGGTACACAGCTGTGGTCATGCCCGTTCACTATCAGCATGGCACTGGGCAGAGCTCCTGTCGACGTGTGGCGCTCATGATTACAGCTGTGTGGGTGCTGGCTTTCGCTGTGTCCTGCCCTCTCCTCTTTGGTTTCAACACTACAGGTAAAACTGGTGGTTTCACTTCCAGCACTCATAAGATTCACAGCACATCTGAGTGGTGCCCACCCCAGCATTTCCCATTCAAGAGTAATCAAGTGGGGATGCTGTAGACTGTAAAGCTTTGGCCTTTGTTGGATATAAATAAAATATAGAACAAAAGCTCAGCAATTATTGTCACAAAAGTAAAGTTTTGACCCAGTTCATGAAAAGTCTGACTCATCCCTATTTCAAAATAAATGTCTTTGTGCTTATTGGAAGAAATGTAATAGTTAAAACACCAATTTATATTAATAATTCAAGTGAGGTTTGTTAATGAAAAGATGATTATTCATAACCAACTTAAAATGCAAAATAACATATCATAAAAGTCTTGAGTAGGTTCTGTATCTTCAACTTTTTCTTCAATAAGAATAATTTCTGACCCTTGAGAACTAGTTTAGAATCCTAAGTCCTGAAATATGTATTCTTAATTTTTACCACACAAAAATTATGGCTATGATAGTAAGTACATTGTACATCTCCTGGATGGATGAACAGCTAGATGGATGGATAATGTCTACATCTGAAATGCTTTGATTTTTTAAAATTTTTGTTTCTTTTTATTTTTAACTATGTGTATATATGTGTATCTGTGTATGGGTATGTGCATGTGAGTCCAGATGCCCACAGAAGCCAGGGACATTGGATCTTCTAGGAGCTGGAGTTATAGACAGTTGTGAGCCACCCTTATAGCTATGGGAATTAAACTCAGGTCCTCTGGAAAAGCAACATGTGATCTCTCTCGAGCCAGCTTTGATTTAAGATTTATTTTTATTCATGCATGTGTGTTTATTTGTGTGAGTAGATGCCACAAGTGTGCTGGTGCCCTCAGAGGTGGAGTTATAGGCAATTGTGAGCTGTCTAACTTGGATGCTGGGAACCAAACTCAGTTCCTCTGGAAGAGCAGCAACTGCTCTCAACCACTGAGCCATCTCTCCAGCCCCTGAGATATTTGAATTTTAAGTATATAACACCAATCCAAACTTACACTTTTTATGAATCAGTGATTTCTGAATCTGTCTATCTTTGGGCCCCAGGAAATTCATGGGTTAAGTGAACACTGTTGAAAATGTACACTGAGAGTGCTTACTAAGAGAAGGCTGAATGACTAGGGTTCCAGTGTTCATACACATTTCTTTTTTTATCCATTTGGATTAGTTCATGCAATTCCTATTGTACTCTAAATCTGCAAATTTCTGGTCTACATGTACTAGTCACATAGTCACATACTTATGTATATGCAGATATTTTGTAATACACACACACACACACATATATA